GGGAACCTCCCACCTCTTTCGAATAGCGTGAAGGCCATCGAAGAATTGAAACTGGGTTCGAAACCCGGTTCCAATATTACTGTAAGAAGGTACCCTTCAGGTACAGCTTCCCAGAGATGTATTACTTTCTAAAAGACCACGCGAGAAAGTAAAATCCAATCAGCGGAGCCGCCAGTCGATGAGCATCACGTTTTGGCGGGTTGGTATCCATGAAAAAGTAAACGACCACTTGAGCGGTCCCTGATTAGTTGGAGCACATACATCGAACAAGCTATAGGCACTAATTGAAGGTAAGCAGCTTAGAATCGAAGGGTCTGGGAAAGCTGCAATGCCCTGCATATAGGAGCATCTAGAACATCACCTAACGTGGAACACCCACACTGTTTGCCCGAACAGTGGTGGCATTCATGATATTTTACTTTCTCGCATGGTAATATCTATATATTGGTTTTGCATTGTAAGAAATAAATGTAGTGCATTAAACTGAAGCAGCTGCGCGAAAATCCATTAAAAATGATCATCGCAAATGTAGTGGCATGGGCACAACGGGAGATCGAATTAATAAATCCTGGACCGGACGGCCGATGGCCAGTCTTACGCTTTAAGACCAAAACGGTGGATTTCCTCTCCATTTTGCCTTTTTAGGCCTTGAATTTACACTTTTTTTGTCGGTTAGGGATTGCTAACAGGCTGGCCACCAAATGATACAGCATTGGTCAAAGGAACTGAAAAAGTTACCCGACAGATAGTTTGAGAATTAGGCCATAAGTTAAATATGATCTAAGTATTTGAAGTTATTTTTGGCCTCACAGCAGCATGCTCGAATTTGATTTCTAAATTTTTTTAACGAATGCAACTTTTTTGAAAAAATTTTTAATATTTTGGTTGCCTTTTTTTCAAAAATGAGTTCAGTTTTGACAAAATAATTTTTTTTCCACACACATAGTTTTCCTCGTTTGTGGTTTTACCCTCCTCAGCATCCTCATATTTCTTAATTCCGATCCAATCATGATTTACTTCGATCAAAAACAAACTATAAAAATCATTTGAGCTCAAAGTATGTATACCCACCAGTGTCATCAATCGTAATTCCAGGATAGGATAGCCAAGCTAACAAGTACCACATTCCTCCCGCTGTTTAACTTCATTGCTTCCCCTTAACGGAGCAGAAAGATTCCTTTTCGAGGCATTAATATCACAACTTCTGACCTCTGACCTCCACCCTTCATTGCTTGAGCGGGTACTACGGTACTTAACCCATTACCTCGCCTGTCGCTTTTCTTAAGTCCCTGGTACCTCAATGCTTGATCCTCAACCTCAGAGCTTTCTTTCCTGCGTAAGTACTACAATGTCTGATCTTTAGCCTCACCCTTTCCTTTCTTTGCGCAAACATCTCGTTCCGTATCCCCTCCCCTCCTCCCCCCGCCGTCCATTGTTCTTCCTTGCGCAGGTATCACAATGTCTAACTTTCAACTTCATTTGTTTTTTCTCTAAGTAGTTACCATATTGCTTGATTTCATGTTTTATATTGCTGATAGTGATAACATTTCCTGATTTTTCTTTTTTAAACTCGTAAAAATGGTTACGGTTTAGAGAACTGCTAAAAATGTCACTACTGCGTCTGGCACTCCATTGATCTTCATCAAATTCTCGAAAAACATAGAAAAGTACAAACAGCTTCGCTCCCAACATTTGTTCAAGCAGTATGCAAAACTCAATTATCACGATTCATGGTGTTGTTTTTCTCATCCCTCCTCCCCTCCCTCCTGCCCGTATCTTCTTCTCGAATTATCCTCTTCAGTAGAAGAGAGATAAACGAGATCTATGCTTTTTTCGTTCCAGAAACTTTGCAAACAAGCCCAAAATTTCAAATCATCCTGTCTGCCCTGTTTTCCCTTCGCCTCTGTTTCCCTTGAGCTTTTCAATTTTCACGCCTATCTTGATTTTCTAATAGCTACGATATATTTTGCGAACAAATCGGGAGAACTCAATCTTCCTGAGCACTGGGGCCTCCTCCTCCTCCTCTTTCATCTTCTCCAAATTCTCATTATGAAATAATCAACTTCTTGACGCTCCCCCGAGAATTGTGTTGCTCGACTCTTCCGGAGAGTGGAAGCGAGAGCGAATGTATTATTGTTTCCAGATATTATAATTGATATATTTGCTTGCCAATCTTCCGTGCTTTTAAAACGATCCAAAACTATTATTGCTCATCGCGAGATGATTTATCCACTGGCAAAATCCCCAACAGACCCATGCCACGGCCGCACTCATGCCACTGCTCTCTATCCTCATTTCCATAAATTATCATTGCATTTTTGCGAAAACTTTCGGAATAAATTCTATTTCGATGCCTTTTACAAAAACCATCCAGACAAGCATCATAAAATTTTTGAAAAAGAAATAATTTTTGGAATAGCAGCAGATTAAGAAGCAATCAAGGTTAAATACGTGTGCAGTAAAAGAAGCATCTGGTACAGAAGTAATTTATGCGAAAAATATTATTATAATACAGAAATGACTGAGGGAAATTTAATGAAAGCGTATGTTTTGGTCAACTAAAATTCACGAGAAGACAAAGAATTTCCACGTACAAT